AGGTCTTATTTTTGTGATCTTATAGAGCTTCTCCATCTTTGGTTGCAAAGAACATAATCAATTTGATTTTGGTATTGACCATTTATATCCACATAGAGTCATCTATTGTGTTTTTGGAAGACGGTGTTCGCTGTTGCTAGTGTATTCTCCTGACAAAACTGTTAGCCTTTGCCCAGCTTCATTTTGTACTCTAAATTTGCTTGTTATTCTGGGTATCTCAAGACTTCCTACTTTTGCATTCCAATCCCCTATAAAGAAAAGAACATCTTTTTTTGGTGTGAGCTCTAGAAGACCTTGTAGGTCTTCTTGGAACTGGTCAGCTTCTTCAGTATCAATAGTTGGGGCACAGACTTGGATTACTGTGATGCTGAATGGCTGGCCTTGGAAAAGAACCAAGATGATTCTGTCATTTTTAAGACTGCACCCAAGTACTGCATTTTGGACTGTGGTTGACTGTGAGGACTACTTCATTTCTTCTAAGGGATTCTTGCTAACAGTAGTGGATACAATGGTCATCTGAATTAAACTCACCCATTCCCATTTATTTTAGTTCACTGACTCCTCTAAGATTTCAATGTTCACTCTTGCCATCTCCTGCTTGACTCCATCCAATTTACCTTGATTCATGGACCTAACATCCCAAGTCCCTACACAATATTGTTCTTTACTGCATTGGACTTTACTTTCACCACCAAACACATTTACAGCTGAGTACCATTTCCATTTTGGCTCAGCCCCTTCACTCTTTCTAAAGCTATTAGTAATTGCCTTCCACTCTTCCCCAGTAGCATACTGCATACCTTCTGACCCGGGGGTGGAGGGGAGGGCTCATCCTCCAGTGTCACATCTTTTTGCCTTTTCATACTGTCCATGGGGTTCTCCAGGCAAGAATACTGGAGTGGGCTGCCATTTCCTTCTGCAGTTAACCACATTTTATCAGAACTCTTTACCATGACCCATCCGTCTTCGGTGGCACTGCACGGCATGAGTCACAGTTTCATTAAGTTATCCCCTCTGCCACAACAAAGCTGTGGGCCATGTATGGCGAGATCATCTATACTCTAATTGTTTTATTGTTTTCCAAATAAAGTGATAAGAAACATTCATGCCATTTCAATTTTCTGAATAAATACATATTACTGTCATGATTATTTAGAATTAGAAATGTGATATCTTTGATCTCCTAAGTGTGTAATTTACTTTAAATTAACTAACCACTGCATAAATATTTTAAAACTAACATTCATTTTCACAGCTGACTGGTTAAAATGATAAGTTTCATAAATGAATGTCAGTGGTATATAAACAATAATAACTTTTTACTGCAAAGTAGAATTTTGCTCTATATGTAATGAGTAAAATTATTAAATGTAATCTTATGTTTCATTACTGACAGCTTGTTATAAAAAAGGAATTAAGACTGAAATTTTCATTATTTTCATAAAGTAGATCAGCTTTTTCACTCATGTGTAGTGAAACCTACTCAACTGAGACTCTTTTGAAGAAAGCCCTAATTACATTACATCACTATAGGACTGACAGTTCATATTCCAAACTATTCCCTCCCTAAACTCTTCAACTTTAAAGGAATCTAGGAAAATATTAAGTTGAATTAATGTAACTATACAAAATGAAAACACTGAATGCATATCTTTGGCACTATTTGGAAAGAATTTTATGAGACTATTTCATTGGTAGTACCAAGCACCATCAACATAGATGTTATGACCCAGGTTGGTGGTAACTGAAAAGGATTAACTTTTGCTGTTGCTTTGAAGCATTATATCCTTAGTAGTTAATACTTCAATATCAATTGCTTGAGGTTCATGATGATTCTGTAAATGCTGAGGACTAACAAAACTCAGATGGCAAGAGCTATAACACACGAAAAAGTCAAAGGCATCTGAATGAATTATGGTAAAAGTTAACACTTGAGATTCAAAAAATTTTTCATCAACTATTTTCCAATCCTTATCTCACTAATTCATAAAATAATTATGGCATAATTTCACATTCACATGAATAGAAGCATTACAATTTGATATTTGGTTATTTCTAGATGTTTATATCAAGAATAAGACCCATTTGTGATTGTGTCTCCTTTTTCAAGATAATAGGAAACACTAGAGATCTCTTCAAGAAAATTAGAGATAACAAGGGAACATTTCATGCAAAGGTGGGCATAATAAAGGACAGAAACAATATGACCCAATAGAAGAAGAGATATTAAGAAGATGTGGCAAGAATACACAGTGAAATGAAAGTCTCTAAATCATGTCTGACTCTTTGTGACCCCATGGACTATACAGTCCATGGAATTCTCCAGGCCAGAACACCGGAGTGAGTAGCCATTCCCTTCTCCAAGGGATCTTCCCAACCAGGGATCAAACCCAGGTCTCCCACATCGCAGGCGGATTCTTTACCAGCGGAGCCACCAGGGAAGAAGAACTACACGAAAAAGACCTTCATGACCCAGAGAAGCACGATGGTGTGACCACTCACCTAGAGCCGGACATCCTGGAGTGCCAAGTCAACTGGGCCTTAGGAAGCGTCACTACAAGCAAAGCTAATGGAGGTGATGGAATGCTAGCTGAACTATTTCAAATCCCAAAAGATGAAGTGGTTAAGATGCTGCACTCAATATACCAGCAAATTTGGAAAACACAGCAGGGGCCACAGGACTGGAAAAGGTGAATTTTCATTTCAATTCCAAAGAAGGGCAATGACAAAGAATGTTCAAACTACCGCACAACTGCATTCATTACACATGCTAGCAAAGTAATGCTCAAAATCAACAGTATGTAAACCAAGAACTTGCAGATGTTCAAGCTGCATTTAGAAAAGGCAGAGGAACCAGAGATCAAATTGCCAACATCCACTGGATCATAGAAAAGCAAGAGAATTCCAGAAAAACATCTACTTCTGGTTCATTGACTACACTAAAGCCTTTGACTGTGGGGATCATAACAAAATATGGAAAATTATTAAAGAGATGGGAATATCAGACCATTTGATCTCCCTCCCTAGAAACCTGTGCAGGTCAAGAAGCAACAGTTAGAACCGGACATGGAACAAAGAATTGACTCAAAATTGGGAAAGGAATACGTCAAGGCTGTATATTGCCACCCTGCTTATTTAACTTATATGCAGAGCATCATGAGAGATGACAAGCTAGATGAAGCACAAGCTGGAATCAAGATTGCCAAGAGAAATATCAATAACCTCAGATATGCAGATGACACCATCCTTATGGCAGAAAGCTAAGAACTAAAGAGCCTCTTGATGAAAGTGAAAGAGGACAGTGAAAAAGTTGGCTTAAAACTCAAAATTCAGAAAACTAAGGTCTTGGCCTCTGGTCCCATCACTTCACAGGAAATAGATGGGGAAACCATGACAGACTTTATTTTGGGGGGCTCCAAAATCACTACAGATGGTGACTGCAGCCATGAAATTAAAAGACGCTTGCTCCTTGGAAGAAAAATTATGACCAACCTAGACAGTTTATTAAAAAGCAGAGACGTTACTTTGCTGACAAAGTCCACCTACTCAGGCTATGGTTTTTCCAGTAGTCATGTATGGACGAGAGAGCTGGACTATAAAGAAAGCTGAGCACCGAATAATCAATGTTTTTGAACTGTGGTGTTGGAGAAGACTCTTGTGAGTCCCTTGGACAGCAAGGAGATCCAACCAGTCCATCTCAAAGGAGATCAGTGCTGGGTGTTCATTGGAAGGACTAAGGTTGAAGCTGAAACTCCAATACTTTGGTCACCTGATGCAAAGACCTGACTCATTTGAAAAGACCCTGATGCTGGGAAAGATTGAGGGCAGGAGGAGAGGGGAACAACAGAGGATGAGATGGTTGGATGGCATCACTGACTCAGTGGATATGAGTTTGTGTGAACTCTGGGAGTTGGTGATGGATAGGGAGGCCTGGCATGCTGCGGTTCATGGGGTTGCAAAGAGTCGGACACAACTGAGTGACTGAACTGAACTGAATGCACTGCTGGTGGAAATGCAAATTTGTACAGCCACTATGGAAAAGAGCATGTAGGTCACTCAAAAAATTAACAACAGAACTACCATAAGATCCAGCAATTCCACTTTATTACATATCCAGAGAAACTGAAGTCAGGATCTCGTAGAGATATCTGCACTCTCATGTTAACTGCAGCATTACTCACAATAGCCAGGATATACAAACAAGCTATGAATGTCTGTTAACAGATGAACGGATAAAGAAGATGTAGTGTATATCTATACACCACTGAATGTTATTCAGCCAAGGAAAATAAGGAAATCCTGCCATTCATGACAACTTAGATGGACACTGAGGGAATTACACTAAGTGAAATAAATCAGACAGAGAAAAAAATAAATACTGCACAATAATTTATATGTGGAATATAAAAAATACAAACTTAGAGAAACAGTAAAGTGATAGTTACCTGAGGTGATGGGTTGGGAGAAATGGGGAGATAGTGGTCAAAGTGTACAATTTTCAGTTATAAGATTAAGTTAGAGGGTCTAATGTACAGCATGGTGATTATAGCTAATACAATATACATGTATCATGCTTATTATATACATGGATACATATGCATCATACATATATATGATATATATTAGTCAAATACACATATATTATATTAGAATACATATTTCACATGTATCACATATTTGAGTGTTGCTAAGAAAGTAGATCTTAAGTGTTCTCACCACAAAAATAAAAATTGATGATACATGACAGGATGGAGATGTAGGTGATCACTGTGGTGGTAGTCATTTTGCATTTATAAATGTATCAAATTAACATGTTGTACACCTTAAATTTATACTATGTTATCTATCAATGATAAATCAATAAAGCTGGTGAAAAACCCATTATATCATCATAGATGTCAATTCTTAGATACAAATGTAGTTTATATTGGTCAACTTAGACAAGAACAAAGAATAAGAGGCGGTCTTATGTTCATATTCATACAAAAAACACAATTTACCTTTGATGGAGGAACAAACTCAACACATTCCAGCCATGTGGTTAAAAAGAACTTCCCACATATTGCACATTTTCTTCCCTGGGAGATTATGCTCCTGACCTGTGGGTACCATTTTATGGCTTTCATTAGGAAAGGATTCTTTTCTGCTAGCTGATTCATTATAAATCTTGATGTTATTTCCTAGATTAAAAAAGAATATGGTTCCTCAGATTATTCTCAAAATAACTGCTTTATATTACATTGATTCCCATTTCACTAATTTATATTTTTGGCTTATTCCTCACAGTTTCTGTTAAATTAGTTTTCCATGGTATACATAATGAATTATATTGTCAATAACTGGCATTGTAAGTTTAGTTTTCAGCATATACAAAAAGCAAGTTACTTCCATTGTAATATTTCTGTCTCTGACATATAGTAATGCAAATTATAATAAATTTACATTATTAAAGTGTTGCTTCAAATTTTGTACCTCTCATCACAATAGGCAAGGACTGTACAAATATTCAGACTAGACTCAAAAATTGAGTCTGTCATATTTACTAAGGTCTAAATCCTTACTACTTAAGCTGCAGATAATCAGTAGAATCTGTATCACCTAGAAGCTTATTGGAAATTCAGACTTAGTCGCACTTCAGATCTATTGAGCCAGAATCCGCAATTTAACAAGGTTCCCCAGGTATTCTGTATGTCTGTTAAAGTTTGAGAGGTACTAGACTAAGTTATCTACTAAACTGAGTACCTGAATTGAGCCAAATTAGTAAAAAGTATTGATTTCTATTAATCAAATCTTTGAATTCAGTATGTATTAAACCTATCCACATAAACACATACAGAAACTACACTTTAGATAATAACATTATTAAACAATAAAATAGGTGGTGAGAATGGTCACTATGACAATATCACCATCTTAAAATAAAAAACTATAAAATACATAATTATCTCTTCACTGACCAAGCAAACAAAACAAACATTTGATTCACTCCACTAAATGCCCCCCTTGTGCCAAGAGCATGAAGTTCTATGTAAATTTTACAAAAACACTGTATGAATTTTTAATAGTGTATAAGACCTTTTTTTGGCCAAAGTAAAAGATTTCTCAGTGGTATTAAGATAGTCTGTGTGAAAATACAAACATACATACATAAATACACACATACAAGCATAACCTTTCACTCATCTATCCCAATTAAAATATCTAAAAATAATAACAAATCCTATAAATCTGTCTCCCTGTTCCTTATTATTCTATCCCTTCCACTCAGCAAACTTCAGGGAAAGCTGCCTCTGTACAGAAACAGCCCTGAGCATGGGTTCCTTAACTGCCTGATCTTTCAGCACCATAACCTCCTATATACTTCAGCTTACTCTCTGGGATGGTTACATGATGAAGTCATCCTTTCTGAAAGAACTGCCCTTTCACACTAATATTACAGGATTCCTAAATTCAATGTCTATTATCACTTCCCTCTAATTAATTACACAGAACATAGCTTGGGATTCTGAATGAAATGGTGATTTTAGAGGTTAAGTTTTAGCTACCAGAATTCAATGGCTAGTTTCACGATAAAGCCACAGAAAATAGAGAAGAATTCAGACCCAAAATAGCAGACAGTAGAGGAATTTGCTGAAATACACGGGACCAATGAATAGGTCCCATGAAAAAGACACTGATGATGGGGAGAGACTGAAGGCAAAAGGAGAAGGGGGCAGCAAAGGATGAGATGATTAGATACCATCACCAACTCAATGGACATGAATTTGAGCAAACTCTGGGAGATTGCAGAGGACAGAGAAGCCTGATGTGTTATAGCTCATGGGGTCACAAAAAGTCAGACATGACTTAGCGACTGAACAACAGTTCACACAGCTGACATTTTCCATTTATGATTTCTGGAGCCAATCATGTTTGTTGCACTTGGAATTGTTGCACAACTCTTTTATTACCCATTATTTATATCTTTCTCCTACTTGCTGCCAATGTGTTGCTTTGGAAGACTAACATATATCATTGAAATATAAAGCTATTACTTGAAGAAACACACACACACACACACATATATATATATAAAGAAGATACTTTTGGCATGACCAATAGTAAATCTTAGGAAATTTGCACCATGAAGACACACGCAATGCAGTTTTTGAGAATATACTACTTCATGATGGCTTAATCTCAGTGTTATTTAAAAGTCAAGAAATCATTTATGGAAAAATAAATTACTCTTTTTGAACAGCTTATATGCTATTCTGTTTTGTTAGCTAACTCTATGTAGGTCAGAGATTATTTATATGTTTAAACAATTATAGATTAAAATTAGTTTAAGGTGTTTCTTTTAGTTTTCTTTATACATGTTGATTTGATTTGAATAATAAAGTTATCCTTACATATTTTGTATATAAATATTAAAAATTATAAAACAAAAACAAATGTGAATCAGAAGGAATGATGAGCTTTGGAACTGTTGTATGATCAACTGTTACTGTATGACAGACGGTAAAACACAGCATCGAGAGCAAAGACACTGAGTCAGAGTCAGATACATAAATAAGTGCAAATCGTGCGGCTCTAGGACTTACTAGTGTGACCCTATTTGACAAGTCCTTAAATTCTCTGATCTGGAATACCCCACCTATAAAATAGGAATTTTGTTTTCAACCCTACCACACAGAGTTCAGAGAATTAAATTATATAATACAGGTAAAACTCTGTCTAGCATCTGCTGACAGAATAAACTCTGGTTAATATTTTGTTATAATACAGTTATCAATATTAAATTTTAGTTCACAAATCTTTGAGATAAGGAAGGGTCTTTAAAAATCTTAACCAAGTAATATCCTGAAACAAGTCCTTATAGTTTTTGAAAGTCCAAGTGGTTTAATCAGTAATGTTATAATGGTAACCAAATATCCAGTAGAAATGACTTTTACTTTAAGTATAAATACAAAATTATAGTGAATTGGTCACCTTTCTAAGAAAAATTCTTAGAGATAGTTTCAAAAACACCCAAATCATTTATATAAGTAAAAATCATTGTTTCTACTAAATAAACAAAACAAAACCCCCAAATTGTGCTCCTGGGTCCTTAAAGTTTTGAAAATGAGAGGGAAGAACTGTTCTCTCACCCTGCACCTGGGTCCCAGACTCAAGGTAACATTCTTGCTTTCATGGGCTCCCTGTAAGACCCCTCCTTGGGTTAACTGCTTATCCAGTCCCCTCCACAAACCAGAATTTCTTCCAACAGGAGACTACCCTTGTTTCCCTTTTTCCTCACTTCTGGCAGCCCCTTTCTGAGGCAATATTGCAGCATGGAGTCTGAAGGCCAACTGCTCAGAATGACATCAGCATTTTAAAACTTACTAGACCTGTGAACCTGGACAAGTTATTTAACTTCTCCCAGGCTCAATTTATCCATAAAAGAGGAATAATAATGGTGTCTTCTTTTTGAGGGCTAATGGAGGACTAAATTAGTTCATCTCCATTAAGTGCTTAGAACAATGCCTTGCCCAGGGTAAGCATAATAAGGATTAGTTGTCTATTAATATTTTTTATTATTACTATCAATATTATTTTATTACCATTGTTCTGAAATATTTGATTCAAGGAGAACAATTAGGTTATGAGGAATTAAACAAATTTAATACTCCAATTTTAAAATCATTTATAATTAAACTTCAAATAAGTTTTTATTCACATAAGAGAGGGAAATAATACTGTTAATGGAAATACAGATCGAGTCTCTGGAAGAGAATTGGAAAAGAGTTAATCAGCCTTGAAAAGATGAAAGTCCTTTGACTCGGTGATTTCATTCACAGGGATAATATGGACATGAGAAGAGGACAGCCTTGTTTATAAAGGCCAAAAAGTTATAAGATTATTTATTAATATCTAAACTGCCAACAGTAGGAAAGTAATTTAAAATATTCTGGTATAATCGTATACCAGTATATTATTATGTAATCATCAAAAAAGATGTCATGGACTTATTTTTTACCAACTGGAAAAATATTCACAGTATTTTGAGTGAAAAATGAAGGACCTAAATAGTACACAGCTTGAACAAAGCCTTGATATCAAAAACTTCTGGAGAAGGCAATGTCAATACACTCCAGTACTCTTGCCTAGAGAATCTCATGGACAGAGCAGCTTGGCAGGCTGTGGTCCAGTGTCGCAAAGAGGTGGACACAGCTGAGTGACTGACACACAGGGCATTGTAACTAATATTCTCTTCCTCACTCATCTGTATTTCCTAGTTTTCTGTATTGAACATATATTACTTGTTCAATAAGGGGAAAATGTTATTTTTCTTTTAAAACTAAACCATTAAACAATGTTGGTTGTTTCCTGTAGTCAGGAAACTTGAACCCTCCCCAATACTTGAAAGTTTTAAGACAATTCTGCATGTTCAGCTAAAAGGACCTGAGAAATCCATATTCACAATAGAGACTCATACTCAAATGTAGTAAAATCTGCAATCTTTAATGTGTCTATCACCAAAAGACATACACAGCCAGTCCTCTAATATACTTCCCTATTCCTTCTTTTTTTTTTTTCATTTATTTTTATTGGTTGGAGGCTAATTATTTTACAATATTGTAGTGGGTTTTGTCATACATTGACATGAATCAGCCATGGATTTACATGTATTCCCCATCCCGATCCCCCCTCCCACATCCCTCTCCACCCCATCCCTCTGGGTCTTCCCANTTTTTTTTTCATTTATTTTTATTAGTTGGAGGCTAATTACTTTACAATATTGTAGTGGTTTTTGTCATACATCGACATGAATCAGCCTATTCCTCTTTTAATATCATCAACTTATTTGACTAAAGGGAACACAATTTCTGGATCATATTCTTTCAGGAATGGGGATAAATGATAAGGGGATGGAAGAGGCAAAAGACCCCAGTAAGAACAAATCAAATATATTTTTAGATAATACTTGAAAAATACTTGAACACTAAAGTGAACACAAATTCCTCTCTTTTGATCCAATAAAATGTTCAAAATATCTGGAAATCAGATAGGATTACATTGGATTCTGCAAGCAAGTCAAAAAGATTATGACTAGGGTCCACAATGCCAATGGATTATGGTTATATTAATCATTTGCTGGCTTGGTAAGAATGCTTTAGAAGAAAACTCTTTAAATCATGGCTTTAGCTCAAAGACCTGTGTGAATGACATAAAGTTTCACCTGTAAACTCCAGACGTCCTCCCGTTTTATAGCACTAACTGGCTGCTTCAGGACCAATGGGTTTCCCTCACAGTAGAACTCCCTCAGCTTCAAATCTTGAAACTTTCAAAAACAAAATAAAACTTCATTACTCAACAAAATAAACTTCACTTTGGAGACTTCATCATCAATAAAACTAGACTTTTTAAAAAGTCTACTTTAAAATTTAAAATAATTAAATATTTATCAATATTTTTTAAAAAATATTACTTTATTTAAGATCTATATTCCACATTAGTATTTTAACAGCAAGGTATACTCAAGTTACTATAAGCATGAGAATCTTCACGTTACCAAGGATGGCAATGACTTTAGAGGTCACTGGTGGCAACCCCCAAACTAGACAGCTGAGAAAACTTGTTCAGGATCATAGAGCTGGTTACTAATAGAATAAGGGTTAATTAATCAAATGCTGGGTACAGTTTGCAAATAATATGTTTGTTAGGAACCAACTATGATGAAAAATCCCTGGAGGTGGGTATAGCAACCCAGTCCAGTCATCTAGCCTGGAGAATCCTCATGGTCAGGGGAGCCTGGAGGGCGACAGCCCGTAGGATTGCACAGTGTCGGACACGACTGAAGCGACTTAGCACGCACTCCTGCATGATGAAAAATAACACTCTAACACATGCCAACATCTAGGTATCACATCCTGTCATATGATCCATTCATTTATGAGCAGGGAGGAAGGTAAGGGAAACAGAGAAATATCAAAAAATTCTCATTTAATTGAAGTACAGTTGATTTACCTGTTGTGCACAATGAAAATTAAAAAAAGAAAAGAAAATATACAATTCACAAGGGTACTAAATCTTCTCTGAAGAAAACCTAAATTCAGCTGGATTCTACCCTTTCCATAGAAAAATAGGGAATTCTTTTATATTAATATTATACTTTGACTCCCAAGAACTCATGTGGTTTTCAAAGTTAAACTAATTTAGGGATTACTTTTCTGAGCCTTAGATTCGACTGTGAAACAGAAAATAAGACCTGTCTTCAGTGGTGTGCAGATAAAATGGTTCTTTGGAAAGGAAAAAAAGCCCTGATTTGTGGCATGTTTTGATTCAAAGGTGTCAACACTCCCCACAGTGGCCGATTCCGTCACTGAACAGAGTTGGGAAGAGATACGGAAAACTGACTCTTGTGAGCCAGGATGAGCAGTGCCATTACACCACTGCACTTCACACTTACGAAAGAATTAGAGGTATTTCCTTGATTTCAGCCCAGGGTTTAAAAAAAATAATTGATTTTAATATCTCTCCAGGGCAGCATGTCATCAGGTCTCAAAAGTCTCATGAAATTTCTACAACATAGACAAGGTTTTAAAATAAAATACAAGGTTCAAGACCTCGCTGGAATCACCTTTAGACATTCTGTCTTTCTTAATTCAGTTTCCTCTGGTATCCATCAACAAGGAGCAACCCAGAGAGTTGAATCCAATGGTAGCCCCAAGTAAGTGCTGGGTGGGCTAAAATGAAAAGAGCATTTCTTGTGCCTAATGGAATCACCCTTTCTTCCTTTTGGTCCTGGAGAATAACATTCTAAGACTTCCCTGGTGGCTTAGATGGTAAAGCGTCTGCCTACAATGCAAGAGACCTGGGTTCAATCCCTGAGTTGGGAAGATCTCCTGGAGAAGGAAGTGGCAACCCACCCAGTATTCTTGCCTGGAAAATCCCATGAACGGAGGAACCTGGTACGCTACAGTCCATGGGGTCACAAAAAGTCAGACACGACTGAGCGACTTCACACCTCATTTACACTTAAAAACTCAGTCTTTTTCTAAAAAACTGATACAAACTTGAGTATCTTGGTATATGCAAAAGCATTAACAGATGTGAACCTCATTTCAAAGTTGACCATGGTCCAAAGAGCACACATTTTTCTTTAGGGGTCATTTTTTCCTTCCTTCAAATCCTGTCATTATTCTTCCATTAAACATGGTAATGAGTTATCCAGCTTGCTAACTTACTACACATAATATATCAGAAAGAAATAATGAAAGGAAATTAATTAATAATGAATATCATTAGCATGTGTTTTGCAGCAGGTAAATTTCAGCAACCTGAAGTCACACAATGTCTGAATCCTCCCCAGAGCAGCATGTTTAACACCCTATTTCTACATGCACTACTGGGTTTCCTGTCCGTGCCTGCGTGCTAAGCCACTTCAGTAGTGGCTGACTCTGTTAGACCCTATGGACTGCACTCTGCCAGCTCCTCTATCCATGGGATTCTCCAGGCAAGAATAAGTTGCCTTGCCCTCCTCCAGGGTATCTTCCTGACTCAGGGATCAAACCTGTGTATCTTAGGTCTACCTGCACTGGAAGACGGGTTTTTTACCTCTAGCGCCAGCTGAGAAGCCCTTCCTGTCAGTCTAACTTTTTAACACAACAATATTCTTTGCTGGTGTCATCACTCCAATAGCATAATCTCACCTGCTAATAAACTATTGTTATAGCTGTTCAGAGGCTCTTTGCATAGGCCTGCTTGAATAAACACTGTCATGACTTTAATCTCAACTGGAACAATTTTGTCCCTCCCCTCCCCCTCAGGGGTCTACAGATATTTTTCACTGTTGCAAGTGGGGGAGGGGCAGTATTACTGGCATCTATTTAGTAAATATTAGGGATGCTAGGAAACATCCTATAATACACAGGGCAGCCCCCGCAATAAAGAATTATCAGGTCCAAAGTGGTGTTGAAGTTGAGAAAACCCTGGTTTAGAGGTACAAGGTCATAAACATTCACTGACCCTCTTATCTAGAAAGGGGATTTGCAGCTGGAGGAAAATGAAGGTTCAAATGAGGGGTTTTATTTTTTTAATACAAAGAAGACTTGATCAAGTAGAAGTACCAACACAGATTCTTTCTTTAGAGAAGAAAGAATAATTGAAAGAGTAATGATCAGGTGAAAGACATAGAAAGACCTTTGAATATTAACATATTTGAATTATCCTGTCCTCTATGGCTGGAAGAAAATATGCAGGCATGAATACATTTGAAGGCATGGAATTGGATGTGAAGGAATCAGATGTGATCCCTTCAATTTTGCCTTTGAAATAGAGAATAAGACCATCTGCTAACTGAGTTATGAAGTTAATAGCAAGTTGCTAACGTAGGAGAAGCCATGAAGAAGGTGGTAAAAGTATGGAAAAGTATGGGATATGCTATAGGTTTTAGAAAAGGAACCTGGCATAGTACAAGCAAAAACATTATACAGGGGTGTTGAGGGACCCACTGGAATCCACACACATTTGGAGCAGTCCCTGTCCATAGACCGTGTGCTCCTTCGGCACCCAGCAGTCCAGATGCATTAAGAGTCTGCAGAAGGATATATTAGAAAGCAAGGGGATGAGCTCATATGTACTAAAACATAAGTGAACTGGGCTGGGTTCTCTGGCATTTGGACCAGATAGAAAAAGAAATAACAGTACAAAGTTTTGAGGGACTGAAAGTAAAAGGCGGTGTGGAGGGACATGAAGTCTTGGTGATCTCAAAGGAGAGATACCGCTATAAAGCAACAGGAGAACTAGGCCTTGGGAGAAAACAGAGGTCAAACTGCCAAACTGGACTTTACTTGTTCATACTGAGAGCAGCTGAACGGACATGACTGTGATGGTAAAGTGAAGACCTGAAAAGATCATCAGAGTCAAGGAATCAAGGGACTTTGAGCCTAAGTTGACTATATTGACCACATTTATAAAACAACTTGAGTAATATTTATTCTCAAATATTTGGCTGTCTCCTGGACATCTCCAGCTGGGAGTCCCACAGTCACCATAAATTCTAACATTAGGGAATCAAATCCATTTCTCCCAGATTTTCTTCATTCCTTTTCCTTATTACCCACATCAAATCTTCTGTCATCAACCTCCTGTTTTATCAATTCTACCTTCTTAAAACTTATGGAATTTATCCTTTCTTTCCATCCCCCCATCCCACCTACCCACCTCCTCAGCACCTCTGCACCATCCTTTCTCCTGCTCCCTGCCCCAGCCTCTAATCCCTCTGGTTTGACTGAGGCCTCATCTTATATGAACTACTCTAATAGTTCGTATAATTACAAACTTTTGCTCCCAAAGTAGTCTTTTAAATGAAAACTTATTCATAATACATCCTTGCTTAAAATTATCAAGGTTCCCTTATGTCTATAGGATAAATTCAAAAGTCCTAGTATATCATATTTGGTTCTCCTGAGCCTGTTTTAACAACCATATATCCTGGTAGGTTATAAAGGTAACTTATAAAACAGAACTTAGGGGTAGAACTTAGGGGTCTCATAAGAGGCCAGTGTCTTGTAATTATCACTTGTGCTGTGCCCCCTACTCAATCCACTCCCAGATCACCACTTCATGACTAAAATATCACCCCTGTAAACTTTTTGACTTTCCTTGTGACTCAGATGGTAAAGAATCTGCCTGCAAGGTGGGAGACCTGGGCACGATCCCTGGGTTGGAAAGATCCCCTGGAGAAGGGAATGGCTACCCACTCCACTCTTCTTGCCAAGAAAGTCCCATGGACAGAGGAGCCTGATGAGCTACAGTCCATGGGGTCGCAAAGAGTCAGACACGACTGAGCTACTAACATTTGCACTTTCAAGTTTTTGCAACTCCTACCAAATATTCCCATATCTCCTTAGGCCTTATATGTAAATTAATCATATAAGTCATATATGAATCATGCAAAGCCACTTTTGTCGTGTCTGACTTTTTGTGACCTCATTGACTGTAGCCCACCCGGCTCCTCTATCCATCAGATTCTCCAGACAAGAATCTTGGAGTGGGTTGCCATACCCTTCTCCAGGCGATCTTCCCAACCCAGGGATCAAACCCAGGTCTCTTACATCTGCTGCATTGGCAAGTGGGTTCTTTACAACTAGCACCACCTGGGAACTCCCAAATTAATTATACCACCTTTAAATACTATGATGCAATCACTGTTGAAAAGTCTGTCTTCATTTATCAGGTTTTGGTGTTTTTAAGAGCTGCATCTTAAGTGACTATTTAATGTAAGCTCTAAATAGTACCTAGTACACAGTTGAGGCCCAATAAATAATCAGTCACATA